CATTCTTCATTGTGGCCGTTTATATTATTTAATGTACTACTATAATTTTTTTTACTTGCCCATCTTCCTCAGGTAACAGTTAGCTCCTCCAGGAAGAAATTGAGAAATCCTAGTACCTAGGTAGGTGATAGGTTTTTAATAAATGTTTGTTAAAAGAGAATGTTCATGATTATTTTATTGAATTAATTAATAAATATGTTTCTTCCAACTCAGCTTACTTTTCTGCAGTCATTGATATTCATGATCCAGAGAAAAAAATACTAGTTTTCTTTTTATCATTTTTTAAAAGTTTAACTGCAAGTATTATAATGATGAAAATTTTTATTTATTGTTTCTCCTGAGTTTTCTGTGTGCTTAAATATTTTATTTTTTGAAGAAAAAGTATCTCACAGTATTTTTTTATTCTTGATACTATATTCTTTTTCTTTTTTTTCCTAGAACAAGGGTTGTTAAGGGCAATTTGAGAACTTTAACATAATTTCTAATAATCTGTGAGATGTATTCTGCTGTCCTTACTACTGACTTGGAAGTGAATTTTTCAAACATGATCAGTGGTTCAGTTGTAGACCAGTTGTACCACAGTGTCTATCATTTTCTAAACGTTGGTCATAAACAGCAGTATTCGCATTCATAGTAGTAGTCACAGTGGTTCCCATCAGCATCAGCTCTTAGAAGGGTTTCCTCAGTGAAATAGCACTATGAGCTGCCCGCTGAAGCACTGCAGCACACATTTCTGGGTGACTCCAAGAGGTTGTCAGACGCCTTCCCTCTACTTAGAGCAGAATTGTCGCCCTCAGAACCCTCCTGCCAAAGACAGGAAATTCAGACTAGTGATAGCTTTGGTGTTAGGGCTCAAGCACCAGCATACCAAGAATTTCTTCAATTAAGTGGTTTGTGTTATGTGGTATTTTACATTGATAACTGGTATCACACCATATCTGCATAAGAGCATGAGGCAATTCCCCAACAAAACAAAAAGCACCCAAACCAATGAGCTGTTTAATATTATTAAACTTGATGTCTTCAAGTCATTAACTGCTTGAAAATGTTAGTAATGGGTGACCTTTGTATCTCATTATTTTTGTGCATCCTTTATTGCATTTAATCTCATCAATAACTGTTTCTGTGTAATAGTGTTTGATTGTATTCTTTATCATATACTGAACACTACACAAATATGATCTGTATGACCAACATACATTTATTAAGAAATTGCCATGTCAAAAAAGACCCTAATACTGAGTTCTGTGGGAGACAGAAAGATAAAAGAGTTGATTTTAACATGTATGAAGAATGAGAAAAAAGAGAATGAAAGTATGAATGAAGTGACTGCAAAGTTTTTAAATTAACCTAATAAAAAGACATAGCTAATGATATGTAATACTGATGTTTGCAAAGATGAGTCAACAGATTTAAAATGTAAACAACATAAAATTAGCATTAAGACTTATTTTATTTGAAGAAGAGCTCTATCTTATTTTAAAGTCAGATTTTAGGGAACTTGATATATTTTATATTGGGGGACTGAGTATACAGTAGCCATAAACAGCAAACTGTGGAAAATTCTTAAAGAGATGGGAATACCAGACCACCTTACCTACCTCCTGAGAAATCTGTATGCAGGTCAAGAAGCAACAGTTAGAACTGGACATGGAACAACTGACTGGTTCCAAATCAGGAAAGGAGTACATCAAGGCTGTATATTGTCACCCTGCTTATTTAACTTATATGCAGAGTACATCATGAGAAATGCTGGGCTAGAGGAAGCACAAGCTGGAATCAAGATTGCAGGGAGAAATATCAATAACATGACAGCACCCTTATGGCAGAAAGTGAAGAAGAACTAAAGAGCCTGTTATAAAAGTGAAAGAGGAGAGTGAAAAAGCTGGCTTAAAATTCAATATTCAGAAAACTAAGATGATGGCATCCAGTCCTATCACTTCATGGCAAATAGATGGGGAAACAATGGAAACAGTGAGAGACTTTGTTTTGGGGGGCTCCAAAATCACTGCAGATGGTGACTCCAGCCATGAAATTAAAAGATGCTTGCTCCTTAGAAGAAAAGCAATGATCTACCTAGATAGCATATTACAAAGCAAAGACAATACTTTGCTGACAAAGGTCCGTCTAGCCAAAGCTATGATTTTTCTAGTAGTCATGTATGGATGTGAGAGTTGGACTATAAAGAAAGCTGAGCACTGAAGACGCTTTTGAACTGTGTTTGTTGGAGAAGACTCTTGAGAATCCGTTGGACTGCAAGGAGATCCAACCAGTCCATCCTCAAGCAAATCAGTTCTGAATATTCATTGGAAGAACTGATGCTGAAGCTGAAACTCCAATGCTTTGGCCACTTGATGTGAAGAACTGATTCTTTGGAAAAGACCCTGATGCTGGGAAAGACTGAGGGCAAGAGGAGAAGGGGTCGACAGAGGATGAGGTGGTTGGGTGGCATCACTGACTCAATGGACATGAATTTGAGTAAGTTCTGGGAGTTGGTGATGAACAAGGAAGCCTGGCATGCTGCAGTGCATAGGGTTGCAAAGAGTCAGACATGACTGAGCGACTGAACTTAACTAAACTGCAAATACCTTAAAAGTCAATAAACGAAGAAAGTAAATGAGTGAATCCCTCAGACTGAACAGGGAGGAAAGGGAGTAATGCTAATGGGTACAAATTTTTTTTGAGGGGGAGGAGTAATGAAAATACTCTAAAACTAAATTATAGTGATAGTTGTACAACTCTAAATATACTAAAAGCTATTGAATTGTTTAAATTGATGGGATTTATGGTATTATAAATTACATATCAAGAATGTAGTTTTTGTAAAAAATGATTGTCAGGCACAGAAAGACTGTGTGTTTTCCATCTCTAACTTCAATTGGTTATTAAGGCAAAATTTTAGGCGTCGCAAGGATAAAAGTCAGATATGAGCATACCTAAGTGAGCTACCCAGTTCACTGTATAACAAAAGAACTCATCATTTGGAATAACAGGTTCTTAGAAATAGTAATATAGGGTGATATTTAGCAATTTTTTCCAGAGTTTTGTATGAACTCCTTTTTCTGATGTTCAGTTCAATTCAGTTCAGTTCAGTCACTCAGTCATGTCCGACTCTTTGTGACCCCATGAATCGCAACACGCCAGGCCTCCCTGTCCATCACCAACTCCCGGAGTTTACCCAAACCCATGCCCATCGAGTCGGTGATGCCATCCAGCCATTTTGTCCTCTGTTGTCCCCTTTCCTCCTGCCCCCAATCCCACCCAGCATCAGGGTCTTTTCCAATGAGTCAGCTCTTCGCATCAGGTGGCCAAAGTATTGGAGTTTCAGCTTCAGCATCAGTCCTTCCAATGAACACCCAGGACTGATCTCCTTTAGGATGGACTGGTTGGATCTCCTTGCAGTCCAAGGGACTCTCAAGAGTCTTCTCCAACACCACAGTTCAAAAGCATCAATT